AAATTTTATAAGAGTTGAGTTATAAATTATAAAAAAAAATATATAAATATTTTTAATTAATTCATACGTTATGCTTTGGTCATGCATACATATACATCCTCCTGGTGGTTTTAATTCGATGACCATATTATTTTAATTTAGATAATATCAAAAGGGAAATTCTATACAACATGTATCGAATGATCGATCTTTTCCTTGTCAAATGACAAAAGAAAAATAAAATATATATATTCAACAGACTAATATCCGGCAGCAGAACCTAGCCTGCGTTCAAATTATGCAGAATTTAATATTGCAGAAAGAGAGATCGATTCCATATTATACATACAGATAATAAAAAAAAACTGTTTGTGAATCACTTTTATAGTTAAACCTAGCTTTAAGACAACGACTCTCTCATCTTCCCTTCACCATTCCTTTCCTGAAATGGTTCCTCTGATAAGTACTAACTTATATATAAAAATAATTTTCATTTCATTACATTTAATTTGATATACATTCTCTTTGCATATACCTTTTTTTTTTTTTTTTTTTTGCATTAAGAGTCAAGGCAGTCCATTTCATGCATATATTCTCATTCATTTTCATTTGCTGGCAACCCATGTTGTTGTTGTTGACATGAACGTCCATTTCATTTGATATTGATCATCATATAATATCTACTAAGTAAATATAAATTAACCCTAGCTTTCTTGCTTTTTTTTTTTTTTTTTCTCTTTGGTCCAACTGCATCTTTCTTTCTTTCTTTCTTTATAATAATTTTATTCTATGTCCGTCCATTCAATTCCTTTCAGGATATTATCTGAACTTTTTTATTTGTTTCTGTACAAAAGTTCCAATTCCATTTCGGTTTATATAACAATAAATCAGCACGATCACTTGGAATAACCTGAAACAACTGGTTGCGTTTGCCTTTGCATATTTTATTTAGCTGCCCCCAACATGCCAGGTTTTCATGGGCATATAATTCTGCTATCTCCTCAAGAATATGCATCCGCCAATACTAAAACCAGGAAAATACTTGTAAGTAATATAATACAACGACTTCGTTTTCATGCAAATTAATACAAATTTGTGAGCTAGCATGCACCACCGCAAAAACCTCTTTGATTTTAGTATTGTCTTATGCCGGATATAGGTTATGTCAACGCAGGAATTGGCTATGTTGCACCAGTCTTGCGTTGGGGTAACCTTTGTTTCTAGTGGTGTAGAGTTAGTATTGTCTTAATGTTCATGTTATTATAGCAATAATAGATCTTTCGATCAATATAATTTTGAGGGAAATAATTGAGTAAACTGATTTGATTTCTTAAGAGATATTTGGATCAAATTTAGTTACTTTTAAGTGGTCAAGTGGTTGATAAAGACTCTTAAGTGTATTATTTAAGAGGTCTTGAGTTCGAGTCTCTCTTCAAATGCTAATAGAGATAGCCACTAGAGTTTTTATCTGATTGATAGTTTTAAAGTCTCGGAGGATTAGTTGAGGTACACGTAAATTAGCTCAAACACCCTCAATAATTTACAAAAAAAAAGAAAAAAAAATTGATAAGATTCTTGAAAACTAATAACATAACTTAATTCACTTCACTTATTTCGAACATTTTATATGATATACTTTTTAATACTTTGGATAACAATATACATGATAATTAGAGAATTATTTTTTCTCGATAAATATAATATGAATTAGAGATCATATTATTTAAATGTTTAGGCATATTGGGGAAAAAGCTATTAATAACAGTTGTTCTTCGAAGATATAGCAATTTGTGATTCAAACTAATTTGATGCATATATTCACATTCAAGAAAGATTTTGGAACATATTTTCATTTTATAAATCTAATCCTCAAGTTTCTTTAATTAGTTTTATCAAATAATCTAAAGCCAACTTTGTAATATGTGCATGAATAATACTACACATACATCATTCTCATACAACATTTCTCATACAACATTATGTGGCAAGATATGATTGGGTGAAAGTTTAATTTTAACTTTAAATTAGCTAATCATATTTTGTCACATAATGTTATATGAGAAATATTATATGGGAATGATGTATGTGTAGTATTACTCTATGTGCATACATATAAATTAATATAGCTTAAAAGAATATGAATATATTTCAATTTGCCTACTGATCTTGTGTCACTGCTGTGGCCAAACATATTTTGTCAAAGACTAAAACCAGATGCCCAAATCCTGCTCTAAAATTCCTACTTCTACTCCCCAAAATGATGGGAATATAATGTTATTATAATGTACACATAATTAAATTGATGTAAATCGGTGGTTATTCATTTTGCATGAAATGCATGAAAGCATAATTAATTAATTACTTTTAGTATTAATTTGATGATAAGCGAAGAAGCTTTATCGATTATTCTTTTGCTTTACCTTGCGGCTTGAGAAATATTCGACTCATTTACTGTGAGAGACACCTATCATTTATGATAGATTTTTGGATAATTGTTTATTAATTGTGAATTAATGGATAGTTTATACATACATTTGTCCAACTTGAAGAGCTACCTAAAAGCAATTCAATTAAGCAGACTGTTGATGAATGCTCGATCTAGACACATGATAGTGGGTTTTTGGAGTTATTGTCTGCTTTGAGTTTTGGGTTTGTACGGTTTTGTCTTGAAAATACGTTTCTAAATGGTAATGGTGTTATTGTGATATATAAGCGATCAAGATCTTTATCTCCTAATCAATGTGGGACTTTGGCACTAACACTAGAAGGAGGGCCTAGACCACTCCCAAGCCCCTCGCCCTCTAGAGAGCTGTTTTGATGCCAAAGCCTGCATCAGTTAGAAGACAAGCGTCTTGGTCGTTTATAAGCGCAATAACACCCTTACCAAGTAGAAACATCTTTTTAGGACAAAACTGTACGGACCCAAGTCCCAAAGCGGACAAAATTTCTAGGAACCCACCTACTATGTGTCTGGATCCGACATACATCAATACATACCAATCTTATTTCAATTGATATTAATTATATGACGAAAAGAATAATTATATGAATTTGTATACAAGAGTTATAACAAAATTTATATGCTATAAGATTACTCATATAACTTTAAATTAATACAATGTATTTGATTATGGATAACTTCAACTTAATTTTAACAATTTTTTAAATCTGTTACCTTATTTCAAACATTTAAATTTCTAAAATTATATTTGAGTTAAGCTTTTAAAGGTGGCCTTACACAATTGATAGTGAATTTTACAGCACAAAGTAACACAATATATTTTACATTTAAATTCAACTATACCATGTTGCAAAATTTGATCTGGATAGTTTATAACCAATTCAACTATACATTTACATTTAAATTCAATTCTTCCTGCATCTTTTATATGGTTCGTAGTTTCACAATTTTATTATTTATTTTTGTCTTGATTTTGGATATTTATGTTGTGTTAATGGTTTTTTTTTTTTTTTTTTTTTTCCTGGTGGTTATTACTTATTAGTCTTAAAAAATTAGGACTAAATGAGGTAAATGAAACTACGTATAGTCACGTCCCATAATCCTAAAAACAGACTCAATATAAAGGGATTGGACTAATGTAAAAATAATCCCAGTCCGCTTAATAATCCCACCCACATGTGGCAGAGAGAAAGGGTGAGCGAGTCTAGATACCCGGACCAATCCCTTGAAACCAGACCCGGACCTTACGGTTCCTAGGATTTAGGAGTCGGTTCCAGTTCCGGGTTCAGTACTAACACTGTTTACAAAATTACAAATAAACCCCTTCTATTCATAAAAAAAAAAAAAAAAAAAATATGCCCTATAAAAATTACAACGAACAATAACCTACAACGAACAATAACCTCCAAGTGTTTACATAAATTACAAATACACCTTGTGTACTCGTTGATTCCACCCCGGGTACTTGGACCTTGGTTTCGATTGGGGTTCCCGAGTCCGAATCCAGTTCCAGAAATGGAATCAAACTTGGACCCGCATAGTATCAGTTTCACCAAATTTAGAATCGAAATTGACACCTTGGATGCCCTGTCGGTTACAGTTTTACCCTAAAAATTTGCACACTTACACACTCAAAAGAATACTATCTACTCTTAGTTTTTTTAGTATTCCCATCCACACTACGGTCAACAGATTGTGACAACAATTATGATCATCGATACAATATTTATATATGTTTTTCAATTTTCTTACTTTATAATTTCTCGTTATTTTTATTTTATAATCTAGATTTTAGGAATAGATTTTTTTTTCTTGTATTTCACTTAGAAATGTCTATTTTGCTTTTATTTCGAATAATATATATTTATATATATATATATATATATCTATATATTATATATATAATATAATAAAAAAAATAATTAACGGCAAGGAATTCCGAAGTTTGTGTAGTAAAACAGTTTTAGAGTTGCAAGAATCTAATTGGTATTAATCCTCTTCATTTTATTAGCACTAATCTATTTATTTGTGTTAAGTTGAAAGAATTATAGATAATTTGAAAAAAAAATTAAAATTTTAGTTTTTGTATAAAAAAAAAAAAAAAATTCGTATGAGGTGCAAGTTTACAATTTATTAAGAGTAAAAAAAAAAAAATCTGTATGTCAAATTGGGGCCGATTCTTGAGCTACCGGCCCAAATCCTCAAGGATCGATCTTGGCTCATGAGTTTTCTTAGAGCCCGGCTCTATGACCTGAAAATTTTATTTATTTTTTTAATTTTTTTGTAAAATTATTTTTAATCCTAAATTTTTATGTATTTCATATATATAAGTGAGTTTTGGATATTGTCAGGAGTTTACGTAATGGGTGGGAGTTTTAAAAATTAACGGCCCGGCCCTGGGAGGGAGCCCTGGCTTTTTCCCCACCTTTAAATTTGCGTTACGTGGACATAATTGGGCCATTACGGGCCTACATCTCTCTAAAAGGCCAACAATCACGGCCCAATCCAAGTCTTAATCCACGCTCCACGTCCTCATCTCTCCCAATCAATTCAAAGAACCCTAGAACAACACCAAACCAGTAATTCAAATCCATCTACATTGATTCAAAACCCTCGACTCTTCATCTAATTGAACGATAAATAAAAGTCCCTCAACGAAAGTTCACTTGTTCACTGTCACTCAATTCAGCAAAAAACAAAATGGGCGCCAGTCGCAAGTTACAAGGCGAGATCGATCGAGTGCTCAAGAAGGTTCAAGAAGGTGTCGATGTCTTCGATAGTATCTGGAACAAGGTATACACCTTCTCCCCTAACGACAGTCATCGCTTGTCCGTACAATTCGCGTCGTCTGTTTGAAGTGATTTCTTGTTTTTGAGATCAGTCACTTTGTTCCGGTTAGGTTACCGGAAGTATTTATCGACTCTGAAATTACGAATTTATACCGTTTCGGTAATGTTACCGAAATTTCGCCTTACAGAGTGCCATTTATTTTATGTTCAGTTTAGAATTTATTGCAATGTGTATGCAGACAATGATAGTAATGTGTAAAGAGTGAGGCATAAATATTTGAATGGTGAATTATAATTGGATTACTGTATAATTATTTGCATAGTTGAATTGGCTGCTTATTGTGTTTTTTTTTTTTTTTTTCTCTACATTTCCATACAATGCATTTTTATACAGTGTTGTTTATGCAAAAAAGGAAGAAAGTGATACTCTGACTTTGAGATCGCTTGTTTGTACAATTTGAATGATATGTGACTATGTGCTTGCATGAATTGACTGGTAATATTTTTTTTTTTTTTTTTTTTAAAACGTATAAGTAATTGTGTAAGGGTTATTCGCTTTTTTGTGAATGTGTTTATAGCACACTCATTTATGTTTTTAAATGCTGTTGAAGAAGGTAATAACTTGAATATGTATAATGAGCATCGGGCAACCATTTCTTTTTTGTTATTAAACATCTATTTTCATCTCGTTCTGTTATTTTTATTTTACTTTTTGGGGGTGTTTATGCATTGTTTTATCTCTTCCTGCATTTGTTTTTGAATTTGACTAGGGTTTATGTGGTTTTAATTGGATGTTTATGGATTTCTTTTCGTATTTGGTTTATCATGCTCAAAGTTTTTTATTTTTTTCACATATGATTTGGGATTTGTGTTTTAGGTATATGATACAGACAATGCAAACCAGAAGGAGAAGTTTGAGGCTGACTTGAAGAAGGAGATCAAGAAGCTGCAGAGGTACCGTGATCAGATAAAGACATGGATTCAGTCTAGCGAGATCAAGGATAAGAAAGTCAGTCTTAGTATCTCTTGTAATCTTTTTGTTTATTTCTTCAACATTATGAATTGTCTTGACATATTAGAATTTTTTTAAGCACAATTAATTCCACCAATTCTTTGAAGTTAGTTTATTTTTGTTGAGCACCAGCTGAGGTGCCATTTTTTGTTGGAGAGTAGATGCACAGAACTTTATGTTTATATACTATATAATATTCTTTCTGTTAACCTTAGATTACCGTGAAAATATATAATTGCAAACAAAGCAAACTCACATTTGTAATTCTGCTGTTATTAGATGTGTTAGTGGAATATGAAAAGTTGAAATATTAATTGTGGAAAATTGCACATGTTTTGCCTTACAAGTTTTTGTACTTTATATGCATCAAGGAATACCCACAATAAGAATTGTCATATATGTTAGTGTTAGAACACAATTTCTTTTTTAATGAGAAACATAGAATTATATATATTAATATTACTCGACCATGAATAAAAAAACAAAACAGGAGAGGATACAAAAGAACATAAATTTAAAGCAGCATGGTATTCCAATCTCTATGTATAAAGAAAAAACAACTATCTTGAAACTGAAGCACATAATAAGCATAAAATCGAACTCTGCCCCGGCCCCCATAGTGGTAATACACTTTTAATTTAAGATTTTATGATTCCATCAAATGTTTCTGATTTAATTTACATTAGTGAATCTGCAGGGGTGGTTTTTTCTTTTTTCTTTTTTCTTTTTTTTTTTGGGCACTTCTGTATCTCTGGTTTTCCCAACTGTTCATCATGTTTTATACAACCAGTTGTTACCCAAAGCCTTATGAGTCGTACAGGTAGTTTGATGCTTTCAAGGTTATCTAGCAAATATTTTTAGAATCTGAGAAGCTGAAGTTAGTTTAGTTTATGTCTTTCGAATTATTTATTTTATGGCCTTTCTTTTATTTTTACTGAAGTGCTTTGACATGTGGTGATTTGAAGTTGTGGATTTGTATTTTTGTGGATTTTGGCTTGGCAGTTAATCTTTTCCTTGTGGTATATGTTGACATAGGTCAGTGCCTCTTATGAGCAGGCTCTGGTGGATGCTCGTAAGCTTATTGAGCGTGAAATGGAAAGATTTAAGATATGTGAAAAGGAAACTAAGACAAAAGCATTTTCTAAAGAAGGCTTGGGACAGCAACCGAAAACTGTAAGTGCTGCATGCTATAATTTTCTTAATTTATTTTGCATGCACTAGTAAAATGCGCATTGTACACTCAAGGTTTAGCACACTTAGTTTTGGTTAATGTGATATTTTGGAGCCATCTTGGTCTTTGAGGTAGTCCTATGAAATATGTTGCTAATAATGCTGATTTGGTAGCTTTTACTATATCTTCTTTCTTTCATTAGATTCAGTTTGGATTAGACCTTACTAAGTTGAGTTGAGTTGTGTTGATTTGCTGGAAAGAAAGTAGGTACCACCGAATTTCTGAAGGTTTTTCAGTGCACAAAATAGAGAGCCATGGTCACACCCATGGTGGGTTGGTGCAGTTGGCCCCCAAATATTAAGAATTTTTATTGGTGTTGCTATGATTTATAAGATTTTTACATATTAACCTTGTGAAACATTGAAAAAGAGTGCATGAGGTTGTAAAAAAAATAAAGAAAAGAGTTTTGATTTACAAAACTTTTACATAGAAAGAAGAAGAGTGCATGAGGTTTGATAAAAAGAATTCTCATGCCTATTACCACTGTGTGAATCTGACATCTAGTAGTGGCCTCTACTAGTAGAAAATCCTGACCATTCTCGTCTGGAGAGCATTGAATAGGCTGCATTGTTAAATTGGTGCTTCTTCATTTGTAGGCAATTTCAAAGGATTTGTTTTGGCAATTGTCATTCTGCCTGAACCTATTTGGTTGAACTTTTTAGTTCTTTGCTTTTTTTCCCCTTCTTCTCATTTGGTGCAGGTGCATGGCTTTCTATAGGAAATTCATATTAATGTTGCTGTTTCTTTATCATCAGTTGTCCCTGTTTGCACACAATGTACATTGCTGGTTTTTACCATGAAACCAATGTTTGCTTGTATAGGAGAATTTTATTCAGTTCTTATTCTATTTCGATCTACTAATTATGCGAATCTTTTGTTGTGTGAATCTTTTTGTGATATGTGAAGGATCCAAAGGAGAAGGCCAAGGCAGAGACAAGGGATTGGTTGAATAATGTGGTATGTAACCAGCCCTTTAGTTTAACATTCATGCTATCTCACTATAATGTTGTTCAGTTGCATAGTTCTTCCGCAATTGTTGGTACAATTCATTTGGCATGCATCTAATTGAGTTTTTATTATTTAGTTTGTGCTTGTGCACTCTGCATTTGTTGCAACTATCTTTTTCTTTTTTCATTTATGTGCCATTGATATTGGTAGTGAGAAGTAAATAGATTGAGGTCAAAATGTGTACCTAATGACATTTTATGGTGTTAATATAGTCTGTTTCTATTTGCTCCTTTATTTTTATTTTTCTAATTTAAGGGGTATTATATTGTGATTTGATCCATTTGTTGGTGCCTTGACATTACAGGTTTCGGAGTTGGAATCCCAGATCGATAATTTTGAAGCAGAAATGGAAGGGCTAACTGTGAAGAAAGGAAAGACAAGGCCACCCAGATTGGTTAGACAAAATGGAAAAGCATATTCTTTAAAATGATTCTTCTAATGTTCATTCAGATAATACTGCTTTTTTATCTTCAGACACATTTAGAGACTTCTATTACACGGCACAAAGCTCATATTATGAAGTTAGAATTGATCTTGAGGCTACTAGATAATGATGAACTGAGTCCAGAGCAGGTCAATGACGTTAAAGACTTCTTGGATGACTATGTGGAACGTAATCAGGTTTAGATTGCTCAAAATTTGATTACATCTTGGATTTTCTTTTTCTTTTCTTTTCTCCTTTTTTTTTTTTTTTTTGGATGCAGTATAAATAGCTACATTTAGATGCAAAATTGTTGTGAGCATCTGCATATTACTACATGTATCTTTAAGCAGTTTCATTTATTTCAAAAAGAGCTATTTGTTATATGCTTGCTTTTGGATCCTTTTATAAGCTTCCTACCATCTATATATTCTTTCCGCAGGAGGATTTTGAAGAATTCAGCGATGTTGATGAGCTTTACAACACATTACCACTAGACAAGGTGGAATCCCTTGAAGATTTGGTTATAATTGGTCCTCCAGGTCTTGTTAAGGTGAAATCTTGATCCATATGGTTTATTTTTGTGATTCTTGTATTATGCCGAAGATTGAAAAGTAATTATTTGTGTTGAAATTTAAAGACTTTTATTCCTCCTCCCCATATGTATGTAATGAAATTTGTGTGAAATCAGAAGAATTTTCTTCATATTGATTGTGAACAAAATATAACAATATGTACACATTCAACAGTCCATATAAGGAAATGAAATAATCTAAACTAGGAAAGGGAATGATCTAATTTCCTATTATAAAGATCCTATTCCTAAAACATTTGATTTGTACAACTCAACAGATTTGTACAACTCAACAATTTGAAAGACATGTCTCCTTTGGTCAATGGCTGTACTTCTTGGTAGAGGTGGCCTGTATAATGATTCTATTTTGTTTTTTATTCATTTACTTTTAAAAAACTGAAACAAGTTTATATTGATTGAAAGCATTTTCAAGCAGTGAACAAGCACATTTGTACATGTTTGGGTTAGGAGAGCTCAGAGGGAGGGGAAAAAAAAAAAAAAAAAAAAAACCCTCAAAATTTCAAGATCAGTACTTTGTAGAAGAGTCCTGAAATCAGTAATAAAAATTAAGACTAATGCCCTTAATCAATTCACTGTTGCTTGTTATAGTACTTTAATCATTGCCAAATTATTGGATTATATTTCCAAATTCTTGAAGGACATGTGTATTCAAAGTGGACACTTGGTCTTTTTGTGGACTAATGATTTTGGATTACCAAGTTTTTTCTCAATTTAGAATCCTTTAAAATGGCAATTTCATTGTAGAAAATGTTGCACAAACTAGAAAGGATGTTATTGTTTTGTCTTGGTTCCTGCTATCTGTCTGTACATTTTCATAATTCAGTTATTGCCATTTATTATAATTTTTTTTAATTCGCTTGTCATGCCTTTGATGTTCTATTTTATATATTGTTGGATTTTATAGTTCTTTGTTGGTGGCCAATGTAGCCTCCATGTATCTTCTGTAGATTGTTGCCTGTTGCTTGATAAACCTATTTCATTGTCTCTCAGGGTTAATTATGCCTTTTAGGTTTATCATTTGAGCATGTCATGGCAAGATAAGAGTTAGATGTAGAAAAAAAAATAGCAACTTATTTCCATTTATTTTTAACCCTTGTCAGTATACTGGAATTGGGCTAAATTTGTGATCACTGGGATCAATGCCCTTATCAGTTGCTTCTTTTTTTTAATTTAAGTTTTTGAATATTCATGCATTAGCATCCAATTTACTTTTGCTTCTCTAATTTGTGAAAATCCACAATAGAAGATTTATATGTTCAAATGTTCTTTCCAATAGTTATTCAGTAATCAATAACTTGATCTATGGGCTTGGGTTCAAATGTGTTCATCATGGTCCCGTGAGATAAACCATAACTCATCATTCTTTCGTGTCAATGTATGTGGAATTTTGTAGTAAACAAAATTTAATGTCTTGGCAGGGTGCTCCAGCTCTTAGCTTGAAGACTTCCTTGGCTGCATCAGCATCTCAAATGCCTGTAGTTTTTCTTTCTTTATTTCATTTTATTTTTCTAATCTTTTACTAATCTGAATTATGATAGTAAATCGTTTATTAAACTTGAATCTAGTAAGGATATTGAAAAAAAGAAAATAGAATATTTGGCTGCAGTCCATCTCCATTTAATTTGATTTAAAGATGCTTTTTTTTGTCATTAAAACATCAAGAAATAAATTGGTGATTCTCATTACCACCTTTTCAATGACTTAATTTGAGTGACTTGCTGCCTATAGGGAAGCCTTGCTCCATCTGTAGAAAAACAATTCCAAGTCAATTTTGGTCCTAGGATACACAAACAACTGCTATGAAATCTGAAAAACAATTTTATGTTTTTATATTTTTTTGACTTCAAGAGGCCCTTTATTGATAATCTATATCTGACTTATTAGCAGTGGAGTATATTGTAGTTGTAATGCCAATTAGTGGACTTGCACTTTGTTGTTAGGTTTATGTGAATTATTTCTCTTAGGAGAATATCTTACTATTTTTCTGTTTTTAAATTGTTTACAAGATTTAAAGTCTCCTCTACCATTAAAAAAAAATTTAAATTAAAATAAATGAATAAATTCTCCTCTGGTGCTGTATTGGTTAAAATTAGTTTCAGTTCACTTAGCTGAGAAGTTCTATTTTCCCCTTCTCTTTCTTGCTTTGCTTTTATGTGAACGATAAAGGGGTTAATGTGATGAGTTTTTTCACTGCTTTTTTCTCTTAATTTTGGCCTTAATTGATGGATTGTTATAGTGTCTGCGTATCCTGCTCATTATTGCTGCCAGTTGGTGATTAATTATACAGCATTTTGTTGCATCCATTTTTTTTTAAATAAAAATGTTTCTTCCGCCTCCTTTATGTTGCTGTCAATATAACTAAGGTTTTGGTTTCCTTCTAGGCTACTGTCACTTCCACGCTTCAGCAGGGTACTTCTGTCCCGGAACAAGTTGAAGATACAACTTCCCAGGATAGTAATTCAGAATTAGTTGCAAGAACACCGCCGTCAAAAAGTAGTGGAATTAGTTCTTCAACTGCATCAACTCCAGCTGTTGGTCAAACAACTCCCATTGCCATCAGTGTCCCAGCTCATAACTTGTCAAGTGTGTCAAATGCTTCAGCTGTACTTTCAAGTTCAAGTTCTGTTCGAGGTGTATTGGATAACACAAGTGCCATCAGTTCTTCACCTCCTGTAAATCTGACAAATCCTTCTAAGGAAGAAGATATTGTGAACTTCCCAGGCCGTAGATCATCTCCATCCCTTGCAGATGTAAGGGGCATTGGAAGAGGTAGCCTCTCCAGCCAACCTTCATCTAGCATACCTCTTAGTTCTGCCACTGCAGTTCCTAGCAATGGAAGCCTTGGCTCAGTTCCTTCAGTCTCGGATATGACTAAGAGAAATATTTTGGGAGCTGATGAAAGACTTGGCAGTAGTGGCATGGCACAATCTCTGGTTTCCCCACTTAGTAACCGAATGATGTTGTCTCAGGCTGCCAAGGGTAATGATGGAACTGGATCAGTTGATTCCAATAATGCTGGAGAGAGTATGTCAATAGGTAGCAGAGTTTTCTCTCCTTCAGTAAGCATGCAATGGAGGCCTGGAAGTTCCTTTCAAAACCAGAATGAACCGGTTTGTCATTTTTTGCTATTTCTTTTTCTTGCATGTATAAGAACTTTTGTGTATCCCAGTGAGTGCTTGTGTGTTTTGTGTCTGTTGGATCCATTTAGAAGGTGGAGACATTGACCACTTGGTGTGGCATACATTCCTGGTCAAATTTTGGATTTGGCCTGTTAATCTGTTTACTGATTGTGGAGTGTTTGTTTTTTGCTTACTTATCTGGGATAAAAACTGTTCTGTGCTTAATTGCTTTAAGTACTTTAAGTCACTTGAATGCATGAATGCATAATTACGTGTTACAGTAATAGTGCATTATTCTATGTAGTGAAAAGTTGTTCTTTCTGAAACTTAAATATATGGATTTTGGATTTTCAAGGGGCAGTTTCGTGGAAGAACTGAAATTACACCTGATCAGAGAGAGAAGTTCTTGCAACGGCTCCAACAAGTGCAGCAACAAAATCACAGTACCCTTCTTGGCATTGGTGGTGGAAATAATAAGCAGTTTCCTCCCCAACAACAAAACCCACTGTTGCAGCAGGTGCTTCTTGCTACAGATCTACATTTCTTTTAGTACATTCTTAGATATAGTTAAATAATAGAAAGATAAATTATCATCAGACCCTTTATATTGCAACTGTATGTCGTTACTTTTAGAGGTTGAAGAAAATCTTGAGTAGTCATCAATTCATATCATGCTTGTTATTTTGTAATTGCAGATTGTTCTTAAAACAGGATTGGATTTCATTGCTAAATATAGTTCTTGTTCATTAATGGGCATGACACTAAAATAATGGAACCGAAAATAAATTCACCATCTCAGACATGTAACTGTTGTTGTTTATCACCTTCGTATTATGCATACTTCTACGAGGGTTACATGCTGCTGTACTTTTCAAATAGTCCTGCTGTACTTTTCAAATAGTCCTGCTGTACTTTTCAAAAAGTCCTGCTGTACTTTTAAAATAGTCCAACTCAATTCTTCCAGAAATATATCCAAATTTGAAACCGGATTTTGTTGATCTGATAATGTTTTTGATATTTTTTGGTAGCTATTGGTACCTATTGGTCAAATCTCTCATTTGGTTTTATATCTGTACTTTGGGTTATTTTATTGGTAAATAACATTTTCCACTTCTCTTTGAGTGATCTGTTCCGCCAGTTTTATAGTGTTATAATGTATCAATTGACATTTGATTGTGGAGTCATATCCCTCTCCCTGATTGACCCCCCACCTATTGCTTGAATCTCTTATTTTCACTTAGTTTTGGGTATATTTATTGGTAGTTAACACCATCCATTCCTCTTTAACTATCCAGTTCCCGAATTTTATGGTGTTAATTTCAAAGAATGTATTCATTTTGTATAATGAACCAAAACTGCTGTGCATGACAACATTGTAATTGTGCAGTTTTCTCCAAACTCATCCATGTCTCCTCAACCTGGTCTGGGACTTGGGGTTCAGGCACCAGTACTTAATACGGTTACACCTGCCAGCTTGCAACAGCAGCCAAATTCTATCCATCAACAATCCAGTCAACAGGCATTGATGCCTAGTGGTCAGAAAGATGCAGGTATCTTTCTTTTTTGTCCTTTTCTGTCCATTTATCTTTTGCTGGCACCCTTAAGTTGAAAAGAATTGGGAAGTCCTCGGATCCAATGATGTGTTGTATGTTGAGAAAGATGGTAAATTAAATGGTGGGGCTATTTACATTCAAAAGTTCATTGAAAGTTGATATAAAATTGTTCTTATTGTGTACTTAGAAAACTGGGTGTAGCTTGTAAATCTAGTGAGAATTTTGTATGTAAAAGGCAAGTTACGTATTAGCAGGAAGGGGTATGAATATGACAGGCAGTCTGTATTGGTTACAGTAATGTCCTATTAGCTGAATGGTGTCTACATGTCTGTATAAGCAGATGTTGGTCACTTGAAAGTTGAGGAGCAGCAGCAACAACAGAATTTACCCGAGGAATCAACTGTTGAATCTGCTCCTAGTCCTGGACTTGGCAAGAATCTTATGAATGAGGATGATCTCAAAGTTTCATATGCAATGGATTCTCCTGTATGTTGAGTAACTCTTACTTCTGTTTTAAGTTCTGAGTCTTCTTAATAATGTATATCAGATTGATTGAAAATTTTGTTGTGTTACCTATCTGATAGTATATTTCCTTATCTTAAGATGCATTTGATATTATTTCAGGGGAAAAGAAATCGGGTTCTAATCTTAGCATAAAGAAGTTTCTTTCTAATTTGAATTTGTAATGCATTCTTCTTTGGTAGTGGCTGATTTGAATTTGTTTTGATAAAAAGTGCAATTTGTAATTGTACATTCTACGAGTTCACAGATTCCTGTAGTTAATCTTGTTGGAGAACAAATTTAGAATAGATATATATTTCTGAATTGCCTAGTCTCTGTCATCATATTACTCTTCTTATTCATGTAATTGTTTATCATGGACACAATTGTCGTTTCTAATTTGTAGGTGATGGCTTGGGTAAGTGTAACTAAAGTGGCATGATCTAAGCTGCTTGTAAACATTTCTTTGCTGCAGGCAGGAGTGTCTGGCTCTTTGACAGAGCCTGCTCAAGTAGTTAGAGAGATTGATTTATCTCCTGGGCAACCCTTACAGTCCAGCCAGCCTTCTGGTGGCCTCGGTGTTATTGGTCGGAGAAGTGTTTCTGATCTTGGTGCTATTGGCGATAGTTTGAGTGGTTCAACTGTGAATTCTGGAGCAATGCACGATCAGATGTATAATTTGAAGATGCTTGAGTCTGCATTTTATAAACTTCCACAACCAAAGGACTCAGAGCGTGCCAGGAGCTACATTCCTGTATGGATGCAAAAAATCCTTATTTTATTGCACCTGTTAATTTTGGGCATGTCTACTATGTTTTTGAATAGCTATCATCTGTTACCTACTGTAGAATAATTATCTTTTGTTGGCCTTTTACAGAGGCACCCTGCAGTGACGCCTCATTACTATCCTCAAGTTCAGGCACCTATTGTGAATAATCCAGCCTTTTGGGAGCGAATGTCACTGGATAGTTTTGGTACTGATACACTGTTCTTTGCATTCTACTATCAGCAGGTATTATGCGTACTGTATTTATATTTTTTATGCCATTTTTGGTGATATACTTCCATTAGCTTGTTACCAAGCCAATTGTTTTCTACAGAACACATACCAACAATATTTGGCTGCAAAAGAGCTAAAAAAGCAATCTTGGAGGTACCACAGAAAATACAATACATGGTTCCAACGGCATGAGGAGCCAAAAGTTGCTACTGATGAATATGAACAAGGGACTTATGTGTACTTTGATTTTCATATTGCCAATGATGATCTCCAACATGGATGGTAAGTTGAATTTGGTATTACTTTACAATAAAAAGCTTTTATTTGCTGTTACATGTTCCAGTTACTGTATTAATCAGTTGTAAACTATGCTGTAAGAGGATCACCTGAATGCAAACATGGTTCCTCCTGTATGGCACCATTATCTCGCGGGAAGACAGGGTTCATAGGTTGTAGAATTCAGCAGTCTTGTTTGCACAATTCTTTTTTAGAACCAGTCACCGTGGTTCAATATCAAATGACATATTGTCTGTTCAAAAGCAATGGACATCATTTCCCTACTTTTCATCATTCTACTTGGTCGATTGATAGAAATATGTTTTTTTACTAGTTCTCTTTTCTTAATGGGACGTATTCTCATATGGGTTTTTCATTAGAAGATCTGTTTTTGGTGGTTATCATCATCTGTGATTTTGGTTTGCAGGTGTCAAAGAATTAAGACGGAGTTCACTTTTGAGTACAACTATCTTGAAGATGAGCTATAGACAGTGTGCAGAAGATGGTACCAGAACCAGATTGATTTGGCCTAGCAATGAAATTATCATCGGTACAATTTGTATTGGTGATGCTGTGCCTCTTAATGGAATATGAATTGTTAGGCTAACTGTTCCATATCCAGTTTTTACCGTTGTTGATAGTAGCGACTTTTTTTTTTTTAATTATTAATGACCAATTAAGAATATTAATTGCATTTTCCCCGTTCATTGTCATATAAATAAATAGACTGCTTGCAAAAAATTTATTTATGTCCGCAAAATGTTTCCAGTGTTTTTCAGATTATAGAAGAAAAGTAATTGGTTTTTTTTTTTTTTTTGTTTTTCCTGAGCTGCTCTAATTCCATATGTCTCTTATTTGGGATTATACGGCTTCCTTTGGACTGTCTTCCATTTTCTTGTAGCCTTTATATAAGTCTCATTTTTTTTTTTTTAATAACTGATGTGTCTGAACTAGCTTACGTGCAACTCACTGTTATTGGTCCTTCAAGTAAATCATAAACAAAGATATTATTTTTGCGTCCAGTGGGGGAATCGAACTTTGGGACTGTGAGTTGATTATTTGCAACTTGTGAGTTGATTATTTGCAACTCCTTGATTCATCCTTACTGTTGGGCTATCCATGCCTCCATGGGTGGGTGGGTTAGATAAGTCTCTTTGTCATCTCTACTTCCAGGATTTGCTTCGATTTGGAAATTTTCTCTATTCCCATTTTCTTGATTCGAGTTTACCTAAACTTTGAACATTCTTCTGAAATCAAGAGGGAATCGTTACAAAATCATGCTAGGGATATTTGGCTACTGGTTGAAATATTTATTCTTTTTTGGTACCAATGTATATGGTTGATTGACAACCACCATATAAGATACAATTAATTGTGTGATATAATTGGTGGTTTGCATGATGCTTTAGCTTGGGTCATGAGCCCTAATTGACTTGGTTGCTGTTCCTGGAAATGAATCTGAGCGAGACTACAAAACGCCCCTTAAAAAAAATAGTTGACTCTTGTGAATATATGCAATTTAGGGATAGTTGCAGGAGTAATATTACATCCATAATTTCTTCTCACAAACTTTTTTTCATAACTCTAACATGGTAATTTGTAATTGGTTAGTTGCAATTTATCATGTAAGACTCATGTGTGATCCATTACGAGCTGATCAATTGAAAATTGTTACATCAGGGTTGTGAGAGGAAGTTTGTGAGAAGAGGTTGTGAGGTGTAATATTTTCCTAGTCGTAGAGATATAAAGTATTTATTATTCAAGTTGTGAGATTAGAGATTCTTTTGAGTAGTGAAAAAAAAAAAAACAATTTCAGTTAGTTTGATTATTATTTGTGAATTGGACATGTACGTTGTAGCCAACTCATTTAAGTTGAAGGTTTCATTTACTCCAAAGGAGTAATAGTGAGATAATTTAACACCATGATCTCCATTGAAATAGATGAATGAACTATGAAGGATATGATGAGGATGTGATGTGAAGTTGAAACAGTATTGAGATTATTATTTGTGTTAAGGTTCTTTTGGTTCACCTATCTTGAAAGTCAGAAGGAAAACATCTTTCATACCCACCAAATTGATTCAAGAATCTCTGAGAATTAGTTAAGAGAGTTTAGTTATATTACCAAAATAAATGTATTCCCCATTTGAATAATTAGATTTATGGGTAGTGGGCAAACATCTATTCTATAACAAGTGGCATCAGAGCAGAATTAGGTTCTCATCCAACAAAAGGGTGAGTTGGTACTCTATAGACCCTTAAATTGATCAAAATAAAAACTCTTAAGTGTATTACTTAACAGATTCTGAATACGAATGTTTTTTTCGATTGTTAATAGAAATAATCACTTAGTATCAATAATCAAAGACCCAAAATAGTAGAGGATGAATTAGACCACTAAATGAATCCCTTAAAAACCAATCAAGGTTGAGTTAGATCTGCGGTAAAATGATTCTGCAGCTTTGATCTTCATATCATGTCAAAGCTTTAATGGACATACTTCGATCACAAGCTTTCTCATGGGTCCTTCCAAGAACTTGCCCTTATCTCCACAACTTTAAGCAATGTAGAATGAATCATCGTTCAACCCCACAATCTTGTACATTCTTTTAGATGTTTCTAGTTTTTTTGTTTTTTCTTGTTCTATAATTCAAGTCCCACACCCATTGGGAGAAATTATTATGAAAAGAAAAAAAAGGTTTGAAGTTAGTAAGGACACAAACATTCATAAAATGAGATATATATTTTTATTGACCTATAATAAACATTTATAAAACTAAATGCAACTTTCTCAATTTAACAATTTTATAAGTTTGACATCTTCTAATACATAAACTATGATTTGTTTATAATAAAGTTGGCCATTCTAGTAGCTTTTTGAATCAAAATATATGTTTTTACTCTAAAGCCATTAGTACATTTATTTTTGTTCTTTCAACATTGTTTTCATAAAACTGTCATTATTAGTTAATGTATTATAAAATTGGTTAAGACATATAATCTCAGGATTAAATCCCCCAACTCCCAAAATTTAAGCAGTTAATCATGACAGTGAGATGTTATGGTAGTCGTCTATAGATATTAGTTGAAGTACGCACAAACTGGTACTGACACCCTGTTTCAAAAAAATATATATTATAAAATCGGATATTTAGGTCACTTAATGGATAGGGGGTCAAAGTTAATTATTTGATTCGTTTCACATTTTATCATTTATCTCATTTAATTCCTTTTTTTTTTTTTTTTTTTTTTTCCTTGTTTATGGCAAGATTGTTCTACTATGATGGCAGGTCAATAAGGTTATCAACCCTATAAGTTAACCATTATTAGTTTTTTAAAGGTAAAATATCTTACCCATCTAATGCTTTCAAAGATGGATATGTTAATGATGTAATACCTTGCTTTTTTAATATTTATCTTACTTAATCAAGGCTTTTGCATATCCTAAATATTTTTATTGTTTTGACATTATTCTTTTAGAGAGGATTTTACTAAGTAAAGGTTATCAAGACAATGAGAAACAAATTTTTATTTATTTTAACAATAAAGATAGGCTCATAACTCAATCTCACAATTCTCTCTTACAACCCTCTACGTGACAGCTTCCATTTTTTGATGATGAATTTTGAGAAATTCATAGAAGCAAAAAACTGAACTACCACCTAAGGACTGTGAGAGAGAATTTATGAGATTGGGTTGTAAGTGTAATATTATCCATATTTTGATACACCTTATACTAAAAAAAAAAAAAATTAAACAAGAAAAAAGAAAACCCAATTATTTATGAAGTAGCAGAAAAGAATTAGAGAAACAAAAACTGAAATTGTTTATGAACTTGAAGAAACAAATTCATTAAACCCCAAGAGTCAGTCTGACGGTCAAGAGGTTTGCTCATTTTCTTGAGTTCTTGAGTTCAAACCTGAGATCACCTACCACAATAACAGGTGCTTACATAGTCCTTTGAGTTTGTAGGTATTCAATAGATTCTGGAGATTAGTTGAGGTGTCATCGACACAATAACATTTGGCGCGCAAACTGGCTTGTACAGTACAGTTACCAAAACAAAAAAACAAAAAAAAAAAATTCATCAATGTTAAAACAAAATCACATGATCTCAAAAGTCAATTGACCCACAAGGTAATGGACAAGTAGAGAAATTGATGAGGACCCATAACACAAAATGAAATAAAAAACCAAAATAAAATGTGAAAAGTAAGGAAATATTGATGGGTGCGTGATGTGTGTCAAAATGTAATGGCAACATTTATCTTCATAGTTTGGAAGGACATGTGAAATGTTTTATTTGTATTTCCATTAACTATATGATATATTATCTTGTCATGAATTTGACATCTCCATTCCTTTTATGTTCTCGCACCTTCCTCGATTTTAGAAACCGTGTATGATTTGCTTCCATATTTGTAATTAATCTCCCTTATCAAAATATAAGTTGATGTAAGAAAAGAATAATATATATATATATTATATATATATATATTACAATTACATTAATTCTCTAAGACTGAGTAAGATAACAAAAATTTCCAAAGGTTTCAGAAATAATAAAGCCTCCCCTTTTTTTTAATGAACAGATGTCTAAGTCAGTTGCATACACCTCAACTAATCTATTTTTTAAAATCAAAGTGTTCGCACCAGCAGTGACGGATCCAGAAATTTTTTTTAGGGTTGACCAAATAAAAACTAATTACATATAATTTTTTGTTAGAGTGGGCCAAAATCCAAAAATTATATATATTAATATTTAAAAAAAAATTGAGAGTGGCTAGGTGGTTGGCCGCCACCTACGCACCAGTGTGTGTATGTTGTGCACCTTAACTAAATCTCTGAGCCCATTAAACATCCTACAAGCACCTCTACTAATCTTTTTTTTTTTTTTTTATGACCGAAGTGTCTAAACCAGTTTGTACGTTTCTCAACTAATTATGTAGTCTATTAACACCCTATAGCTTAATGTTTCAAGAAGCTACAAATGTGACGTGATTCAAACCCAAAAGCAATATGATTGAACAAACTTTCTTAACGTCAGACCACTCCTTAAGGTTTAACAGAACCTCCTTATAGTAAAATTTAGTGGTCGAAAGTAAATAGTAAAAGTCAATTTTATTATGGAAAATGATAGAGTTACAGAAAGTATACACCTAATGACGTGACAAAATCATACCCTTGATTAAAATAATTATTATATATCACGATCAGGATTTATCATATCATTCAATACACAAATTCAGTATATACCCTTTGATAACTATAACATTATCTTTTATAATACTTACCAAACTGTAACGGGGTTTTGTTTTACATCATACCTAAAACGTATACGCGTCTTTAACTTGTTAACATAAACGACTCTTACCTAAGCATTCTCATTGGTTAATATACACCGACGATCAAATATATAAAACTCTTGGTTTGTTTATATCATTTATCACAGATTTGGATGGATGAGAAGATGACATCATGATGAATTGACGGTAAATTCATTTTAAACTTAATTTAAATGGAAATAAAATTATAAAAGAATGAGATGAGTCATCACTTAATACAAAAACTAGGGTTCCTTCTCAAATCTCAAAAAGTGAGCTTGTCGGCAGCCGACCACCTAAAACTTTTAACATTTGTATTTTATTTTTTAAATTTATTATCATCTAATTTAAAAAAAAAAAAAAAAAACTATTACTCTAAAATGGGTTTCTATGTATAATTTTTTTTTATTATAAAGAAATATTAGGTTAAAAGGACCATAATTTGTGGG